CATGATTTAAATACAACAGGCAGAAATATCCATCATGACTAAATTTATTGTCTTACAAAAATCATTGTCTAGAAATATGGGAGTATAAGGCAATTATTTAATTTGCCCTAATTAGGAAAGAGTGTAAATAATCCTATAGCAACATTGAAAGCCCCATGTGGGACAGTTTTAAGGAACACCTTACCTGCCTTAAGTTTTTAGGTAACCGTCTTCAATCATGTGATCAGTTAGAACCATTTTCTCCTAAGGTCAGCAGAGTTCCTTGTAAGAGCTTCTGGGAATGCATGCTATTTGGTTGTGATATATTTGATATTCTACTTTACTCCAAAGCATGGAGTAAAATCAATATGGATGTCCTATTTTTTTTCATAAACACTTACTACAGTTTCCAAAGTTATATCAAGTCTCACTCTGATTAAAATTGATGTTTTAATTTTTAAAGACATTTCCAGCTTTAGGCTTTAGCTCCTCCATCCCCTCACAATTCAATAAATGTCTTCTTATTTTCTGTGGCATATGAGAAAGGTGGTTTGTTCACAGGTGCTCCTAAAAATACTCAATTACTATCTAGCTATCTAATAAATTCTATGACCAGCATTCATTTAACATTTATCAAACAATTATCTATCAGGCTCTGAGCAAAGTGCTCAGTGGAAAAGGGGCTTTGTGGGTTGTCCAGGGTTTAAATAATGGATGAGTATTAGAATTCTCATCAAAATTAAAGAAGTTAACCAACAGGAAAGATTACATTTCTTATTAGAATACCAAATTGCTACCCGTTTTACAGTCAACATATTTGAAAGAGTAGAAACCAAAAAAAGACCAAATATGTAGTGAAGGTGTGGGACAAGAATGACACCAGAGTTAAAGGTGACTTGGTGGTAAGACATGTAAAGGCCAAGACCAAATTTTATTAAATGCTAAAACCACCAACCCCTACCACAGCCTTTCCAGGTAAAAATTCTTCAAGTTATTATTAAAAAAAAAAAATCACCCCTAACTTACTATCATAAAAAATAGCCATTTTACATCCAGCTACAAAGGAAAGTACAAACAGGAGGATAGAAGGTATAAAGCAAGACTTATCTCAAAAATAACCAACGCAAAAAAGGACTGGTGGTGTGGCTCAAGTGGTAGAGCACCTGCCTACCAAATGCCCGGACCCTGACTAGTTCAAACTCCAGTACTGCAAGAAAAAAAAAAAAAAAAGCCTTTTTGTATCCTCACAGATTCGTGGATACTACAGGGATACCTTGCATCTGCTCTGTGATCTCTGGGCCTTCGCTAAGGCTCGAGAGGACTGTCTGGAATCATCTGATCACTTGCTCACAGGTGTGATGGGAAACACCTGCTGTCAGCTAGGATCTCAGCTGGAAACCCACACATGCTCAAAGGAGCTGCTTGTGCTTTCCTTCTGCCAGCTGCTGTATTCTCAGAGCCAGTGTCCCAAAGAGAAGTTGGATCTAGCCTTGGAAGTCACCCAGTGTTATTTCTCTGTTGTCATAAGCCAAAGATTCAAGGAAAGGGAATGCAGAGCCCCACCTGTCCATGGGAGCTGTGTCAAAGTCCTGTTCCGAGAATAGCGTGCTGGGTGGGAGGTAAAACCCACCACAAGTATGGAACAGATAACCAAGTGACTAAGCACTATTATGGACAGTGCTTTTCTCAAGTTTTTAGTGCTCCTTTGAGAACACAGGTGCACTTTCACCCTTCCTTAGGGTGAGTCAACCCAGGGACTTAGTTGCTGTGGCCAATGAAATACAGACAGAAACAACTTATATAGCTTACTACATGAAACATTTATAGTCAAACCTCCTTACAGATCACACACTTACAAATTCACCTACCTGTTAAATGCACTTGAACCCCACAAGCAAGACTCCCGCACTTTCCGATCACTCCCACACAGGCACAGGACAGCAAATCCCTCGAGCTGCTCAGAGCACAGCATCCTCAGCTGAGGTCAGAAAGGCCAAGCTCAGTCTTCTTGTTTCAGCTGTCACACTGTAAACTGTTGTCTTCTCCACAGGCCACTCAGGACCATGTGTGTCTCCTCCTTCTGCCTGTTGTGGGCGATCTCACTGTGCACTGTGGTACCCAGGTGCAGTGTAGAAGTGCTGTCTAGAGCTCCTACCTGTGAGAAGGATGTTAAATTTGTGTTACAGAAGCTCCATTCGGACACCAGTTAAAATGGCGATAGCTGGGAATTGAATATTAATGAATCAACAACTATATTAAGTATCTTTATACAGAAAAAAGTTACACAAAGAAAAAGAAGAAAAAAGAAAAGAAACAACTTACATATTGATTGGGTGTCAAAAATATTGGGGCCAGACAGGCTCACAGGAACCTAACTTGGTATTTCCCCTAGGATCTTCAGGTCAGGATTCACTAATTCAGTTTTGTGGTGACTGTAGAATGAAACTCCCATGAATAAGAAAAGAACCTACAGGTTCTGCTAGTAAGTCTCCTTGCTCAGCACCCACTCCCGGCCCCCCTTCCTTGGGGAGTGTACTTTCCTGCTTTCACTCTCTCTATAAAACTCTGCTGCTACTTTGCAAAAACAAAAGCAGAAGAAGAAACACCTCCCAGTGCTCTCTTTCCTGCCTGGGGTAGTGATGAGGGTCCCCTTATATAAAGACGCCATGGTGCACCTTTACTTATAAATAAAATAAAATAGCTGCTTCGTAGTGTCACATTATTTAACTATGAGCTAATGACTAGAACAATTTAACACTAACTCATCGATTTGATTATTTTGAAATACGAGTATAAAACTTGAACCTTCTGAATTTTATTAAGTGTATTCTAACAAAATTCCATTAACTTAAATAAATCGTGTATTTTACTTCTTATATATGACCAATTACCACCTTAAAGACAGATAATTCAGCCTAGTCACCTGCTGTTATCTTCATTAATGATATAGTCCACCCCCTCAACAGAATGCCTCCAAATTTAGCCTAACTTTTCTGCAAATAAAATGCTCTCCCCTAAAAAAGACACTGATAACTATAAAAGACAGTCTACAGGTTAAAAGAAAAACAAATTTCTTAACCAGCAATGTAAAGTACTTCCTTTTTCTTTTTTTAAAAAAACTCTACAATAAAGTATAATTACATTCTCAAAGTCACCTAAACAAAGGATCACATCTGTTACATGGTTAAAATAAATGGGTTATTTTAAAACACAAGTCAAAATTCATTATTGAGGCTTCACTAAATAATTCAAATATTGATTTGATACAACCACTAAAAATCGGCTTGCGTCCTCGGGCCCTTGCACAGTTCTTGAGGCAGGGAAGGATAAGAAAAAGAAGTTACACCAATGGCTTTAAAAGGACTTGATCTGTCCAATGGGATCTTTTCTAGTAGTGAGCAGGAATAAGGTACTGGTACGAACTGCAGTGTGGACGGACCTTAAAAACACTACTTCTTTCACAAAAGAACGAATCACATATTATGTGATTCCATTGATATGAAATGTCCAGACTAGGCAATCCATAGAGACAGAGAGTAGATGGGTGGTGCCAGGAGTTGGGGACAGAGATGGAGAATGACTGTTCAGCAGTATGGGATTTCTTTTCGCAGTGACCACATTTTCTGGAATTAGACATGATGGCTGTTGAGCACTGTGAATATGCTAAAACTCACTGAACTGTGCATTTTAAAACAGTGAATTTTATCTAATGTAAATTATTCTTAAAATTTTTTAAGCACTAGACACAGGATAGTTATAATCAAAAAGTCAGATAATTGGTGAGGATATAGAGAAACAGAACACTCAGATCCTTCTGGTGAGAATGTAAAATGGTGGGGGGAATAAACAAAACACAGCAACAAAAACCAGTATGGCAGTTCCAAAAAAAAGTTCAATACAGAGTTATTGTTTGACCCAGAAATTCCACTCCTGGCCATTTACCTAAGAAAAGTGAAAATAAATTTGTGCACAGAAACCTGTACACAAATGTTTTAGCAATATTGTTTATAACAAAGGTGGAACAACCACATATCCAACCACTGATGAATAAACAAAATGTTTATTCATATTATATGTTTATGACATATTATTCAGCCATAAAAAGGAGTGAAGTACTCATACATGTTACAACATGCATGAACCTTGCAAATACTTTGTCAAATAAAGGAAGTCACAAAGGACCACATTCTGTCATGATTGCATTCATATGAAGTGGCCAGAAAAGGTGAACCCATAAAGACAGAGAGAAAATTAGGAATTGCCTAGAGCTGGGGTTTTAGGATCTTGGGGGTGGCTAAAAGACATGGGATGCCTTCAAGGTGTGGGGCGATGAAAACGTTCTAACATTGTAGCGACTGAACAGCTCCACGAATATATTAAAAACCATTTAATAGTTCACGTTAAAGAGGTTAATTGTCTCTATAGTCCTCTTGGAAAGACACCTAACCAAAACTTTTAAAACGCACTGTGGCCTGCCCTCCCCCAGCCCCCAGTCCTGGTGGGATTATTCAGAGGGCTTGAGATCATTTTTGGAAAAGGTCAAGGAACCAAGAGAGTTCAAGATTTTCCCAGAGTCACGAGTCCCCACCGGCCTGTCCCTCGAGGGACCCTGACGGCTTGTTTGGTGTAGGCAGTGCCGCGGAATCCAACCCACGCGTGGAGCGCGGGGCCCCGGGCAGGCGAGCGAGGTCAGGGTCCCGGCGCTCGCTGCGCCTTGCCGCCGCACAGTGGCGCACGAGGGGACAGGCGGCCGCTCAGCCAGTGCCAGGGACAAGACGGTGGCAGAAGTGCCCCGACCTGTTCTGCAGAAACCGCGCGCTGCCTCTCGGTCCTCCGCCCACGGCTGCCTGAAATCTAGTGCAGGGGGCAGGAGGGACCTGGGGGACGCCGGGAGAAGTGGGTCCTGCCGTCCGGTTCCCGGGCTGGGTTCCCTGTCCCCTTGGGGATGAGAGGGGGTTCGCGCAGGGGTCACGGCCCGGGTGGCAGATGTCAGCGTCCCCACCCAGCTCCCCCGCGATGGCGTCGCCCCCTGGTGGCGCAGATCCGGGCGTGTCCGGCTGACTCCGGTCTCCGCACTGCGGACAGAAGGGCCGCGCGTCGCCGGGGCGGGGACTCGGGGACCTCGGCGGGCCGGGCGCGGCGCACACGCAGGCGGGCGGCCGAGTGGCCGGGTGTGGCGGCCGCAGGTGCCCCGTTGGCGGCCCCCTGATCCGGTTCTGTGCCTGGATCGTCCGCGCTGCCCATGGCTGATGTGCCCGAGCCCGACCTCGGGGCAGCCGAGGCGGCGGCGCCAGCCGTGGAGACGCCGGCCTGGAAGGCCCCGGAGGACGCGGGCCCGAAGGTAGGCGGGGACCCGGCCAGCGGGCGGGCGGGCGGGCGGGCCGGTGGGGGTTCGGGGCTGCTTGGCGGGGAGGTCGGAGGTCCCCGCAGAATTAAGTGAAAAATACGATTTTTAGGATGGTCCCAGTCCCTATCCCAGATCGTGTGCAAAGGGAAAACTCGGTCTTTAGCTGTCCCCCGCAGGTGAGGGCCACACTTCCATTTCTTGACTCTGTGGGGATTGGGAAGAACAGACTCAGTCCTAGATCCCGCACTGAGACGCTCCAGGTTGAGGGTGGTGATGGTGGTGTAAAATAGATGCTTGTTTCTTTTCACGTGGGCTGGGGCCTTCCCAGTTCCTAATCCCAAGGAAGAAAAGGGCCACCCCTGGTACTAAAGAGCCAGGACCTCAGGATGGCCCTGGGGCCTGCTCCAAGTAACCAGAGGTCAAGGTATCTACCTGGTTGCGTCTCATGTCCTGCTGTCCTGGACTTGCTTCTCCGTTCCATTTTAGCCTGGAAGTTATGAGGTTCGACACTATGGACCAGCCAAGTGGGTCAGCACTTGCGTGGAGTCTATGGACTGGGACTGGGCCATCCAGACTGGCTTTACGAAACTGAACGACTACCTCCAAGGCAACAACGAGAAAGGTAATGACAGTGTGCCTTGTCATTATGTGAACCTAGTGTGATTGAGACCCTGGGCATATTAAAGAAATATCCTTTATAATAGAAAAATAATCAGATCATCTAAGACCCAATGTTTTCAGAGAAAGCCTCCTCTAAGGAGCCTTTGCATGGCTGGGTCTACTTTTCAGCCTCTGCCCTTCCCCCTGCTTCTGAACTGAGGCTCTGTGTAGTCAATGAGAAGTCCTGTCCCATGAACAGGATAAGGCTTCCAGATAATTTGGAGATTGGCAGGGTTAGAGATATCAGGGACAAGAAGATATGCAAGAGTACGAGTCTCAAGCCATAACTTCTGGCTGTTACCAAAAGAGGTCTCTTAGCCTATAGGACCTCATTTTCTGATTCTAAAGAAAAAAGAATTAACCAGACCGTGCTATCTCTAACTTTTATCTCTAAAAACATAGGATTTGTTAAACCAAAAAACTGATAGTAAAGAAAATGTTCAATGTGGATCATGAATAATTGAGTCACTTAATCCTCATTATTTATTTATTGCAGTACTGGGGTTTGAACTTGGGGCTTTACATCTTGAGGCAGGAGCTCTACCGCTTGGGCCAAGGCCTCCAACCTCCACTCTTACTTTTTTTTAAAGATGAAAATTATTTTAAAGGTAAATAGTTATATCAGTACTGTAAAGCAAATCAAGAGATTCACATCAAAAAAAGAGGAGGTTAAAATTTAAAAAGCATGCATACATACACTAAAGTTGCTTTCATTTTTATGGCGCAGAGATGAAAATCAAGATGACAGCTCCAGTGACAAGCTACGTGGAGCCTGGCCCAGGTCCTTTCAGCGAGTCTACCATTACCATTTCGCTATATATCCCCTCTGAGCAGCAATCCGATCCGCCCAGGCCTTCGGAGTCAGGTGTCTTCATTGAGGACAGAGCTGAAATGACAGTGTTTGTACGGTAAGTGGTGGATAACTTACAGCCCTGCTGACTTCAAGGCTTGCTCAGTCGGCTGCTAGTTTTACCTGTGTGCACTCACCACTTAGCTCCTATGCAACTTCAACAGGCTTTTCCATGAAAACAGTGTGTTCCTACTGGCTTGATTTTAAATATTACTGAGGACCGTTGGCAGTACCTAATCAGTTCATTTAATGAGAAGTATATTGCATTCTCCCCCATATAAAACATAGTACAAATGATATCCCATCATGTCAGTCTGCCCTTATCTGCAATCTAGGCAGACTTGAGTAAAAGTACCCTAAGAAACATCACATGATATCGTCTTAGTCTGTTTGGGTTGCTATTACAAAATGCCATACATAGACTGGGTAACAGAAAGTTATATTTTCACAGTTCTGGACGTTGGGTCTGGAAGTTCTGGTGACTGACTAGGGACAATTTACTGGATCATCAATGGTACTTTCTTGCTGTGTTCTCTCATGGTAGAAGGAGACAAGATTCTTCAGTCCTTTTTTATAAGGGTACTAATCCCATTCTTGAGGGCTCCACCCTCATGATCTAATCCCTTCCCAAAGGCCCCACCTCCTAATACTGTCACATTGTGATTAGGATTTCAACATATTACTCTCAGGGGATGGGAGGACCACAGACATCCAGTCCACAGCACTCTGCCCCAGGCCACAAAATGCATTTGTTCCATCCCAGTAACGCCCAAAGTCTTACTCATTTCAGCATTGACTCAAAAGTCTCAAGTCCAAAATCTTATCTAAAATCATCCAAATCAAATCTGGCAGAGACTCAAGGTATGATTAATCCTGAGGCAAATTCTCTCTGGCTGAGACCCTGTAAAATCAAATGTTATGTGCTTCCAAAACACAACAGTGAGATCAGAATAGGATCAACATTCCCGTTGTGAAAGGGAGAGATAACAGAGGAGGAGGAGGGGAGGAGAAAAGGAAGGAGGAGGTGGAGGAGGCGAAGAAGAAGAAGGTTTTAGTTTTTCTGGTGAGTCTGAGATCTGAACTCAGGGCTTCACACATGCAAAGCAGGCACTCTACCACTTGAACCCTATCTCCAGTTCAGAGAAGAAGAAATGGATAATAGGTCCTAGTTAAGACCCGGACTTTAAAGGCTTGACATAGGCTCTTCTTTCCAGGCCCACTGGATGCTGGACACAGGTTGGGCACCTAGTACTCCCAGCAGCGCTGTCTCTACCTCCAGCTCTCATGTGTTAGCATCACCTACCTACAGCTCCACCAGGCTGGAATTGTGCACTGTAGCTCTGTAGTCTGGGGTACCTTGCCCCACAGTTCCATTAGGAATTGTCATAGTGGCCAGCCCTTGCACTGGCCCTCTGCCTGCTTCATGCACCTAAGGCTCTAGGCAGCTCCATCCTTCAAAATCTAGGTGGAGGGCTGGGATGTAGCTCGGTGGTACAGCGCTTGCCTAGCATGCGTGAGGCCCTGGGTTCAATCCCAGCACCAAAAAAGAAAAAACAACAACAACAAAAAAATCTAGGTGAAGACGTCCACATGCTCACACCTCGTGCACTCTCCAAGCTAGTGGAGGTGACACTGTGTGGATCCTGTGCCTCCAGCGGGCCAGTCGTCATAGCCCACACCATATCTTAGCCCACCCTTGCTAAGGGGACGGCCCAGGAGTGCTGCTTTGGAAAGCAGGAAGCAGACCCTTGAGGCTGTGTTAGGCATTGAGCCCCAGGGTCCAACCTGTCCCCAAGGCCCTCCTTTGAAATTGTTCTCCTCCATCCACTCCCTGGTGCACTGGGCCTATGATGGGAGTGGCAGCCCCTGACAATCTTTGAAATGTCTTTGGGGTCATTCTTAGAAAACAGGTCCTGTCTTCAGTACAGGTGTCAGTTCCAAACTAACCTCCTTATCCAAGGGGTTACTTGGCCCCGCCTTTCTCTCCTGAGCAGGCTTTTCATTTCTTTCAGGATGGATAAGCTGAGAATTTTCTCAAGTTTTAATTTCTGCTTCCCTTCCTATTAAAACTTTTGTCTTTAAGTTGTATTCTTTTTCTTGTATTGTACTTTAGGAATTCAAGAGAAGACACACCAGACTTTTTCCACTTTGCTTAGAAATTTGTTCAGCAAAAATATCCTATTTAATCAGCCATAAGTTCTTTGGCCCATGTGCCATTAGAAGAAAACACGCCTCAGCCAAGTTCTTTGCCACACTGTAAAGAATAGTTTTCTTGCAGTCCCAGAACATGCTCCTCATGTCCCTTGAGACTTCGTCAAACCCTGACCGTGTGGTACAACCCCCACGCTCTCCTTGGAACAGCCGTGGTCATCCTCAGCATCCTTGTATTTGTCGCAAGATTATAGTCCTTTCAGGTGGCCCCTGTAGCATGCCATGTGGCCAGTTTGCAGTATTTGTTTATCCTTTAATTTTAAAAATGTCACTCTCAGGCCAGGTGTGGTGGGTCAGACCTGCCTGCAATTCCTACTTAGGATATGGAGATGACCTAAGTCATCTGGTTACACCCTAGTTCTCTAGGCAGTGCCTGGCACTTCCAGGTGATATGGGGCTGTTTACTGATTAAGATGGGGTTCTCAGCTACTTCACTTCGGTTAGTCTCCTGGCCTCTCTCATTGCTACCAGCGTTTACCTCTGCTCTTCCAAACTCGGCTGTGGTGTTCCTTACAATACCCCTCCACCTCTGTTGCTGTATTTGAAATCCTCTGTTGTCCGCTTCTGGGGGGTTGAGCTCAGGTTGTTCACAGGTCCACAGTGCCCTTCTGAATATGCCCAGCTGGGTTCAGTAATACACCTGCCCGCTGCTTGGGCTCCACGAAGCTACCCACCCGTGGAGCTTGTCACACCGTGTACCTCCATACCTCTTTACCCAGACCCCAGCATGTCACCCAACTTTTCCTTGTTAAAGCTCCTCATCTGTAAAATGTATATAATCACGGTACTTAGCTATCTCATGGGGTGACTGTGAAGATCCACAGAGTGAAATTACACAAAACACTTAGAACATGTGTGTCACAGGCATCCCGTGCTACAAGCACTAGTGCTTGCTTTTCTCTTCCTGAAGGACAGGTGAGCCTCCTCTGAGATGTCTCCCTCAGTTTCTCCCTCGGGGGTCCTTCCTCCTGTCTTTATCATTCTAAGTGACAATAACTTCCTCATGAACATGACAGTATGTCACCATGTCCACGTATCTACCCCTGCTTCTAGCAAGGCAGGCACATGGAGCAGGGGCATACTGAATGTTTGTGTGTAGAATAAGGAACAACATGTATCCAGAGAACAGAAGGTGACTTCTAATTAGGGGTTCAAGTTTTGTTTTTAAGGAATATTGGGATCTGAAGAAAAATTCTCTTTAGACTATTCATTAAGGAAGTAAATAATAAATCCAGGAGCCAGAGTGTTTCTTTGCATATGGCTCAGAATTACTTTCATGATGAAAATGAGAAGAGTTGAATCAACTCACTGCCATGTTTTATTTAAGGTACCTGTGCATACAGAGATGCCCGCGTTTCCTTCAGTGTGAGTGTAAACCGAGGTGTGTGAGAGTGGGTTCAGGTGTGGGGAGACACTGGCAAAGCCATAGTTTGTGCCCTGGGGGCTTGTTACGTTAGGAAGCATGCACGGTAGAACTGAGTTTTTGCATGGCATGTGGATGACACTTATGCTAAAGAAAGCACGTTAGGGGCATTTTTGTTTCACAGTGTTGCTTATGCTTAACAATCAGAATCAAGGTCATTGGGCTAGCATGTCAGCATTTCATTCTGTGCTGTCGTGATTTAATCTCAGGACATTTTGTGTACTTTAAAGTCTGTGCTTACACTTTTATTCCTTTCCCACATATTATTTGAATCATCTCTTCCCTGTCCTCCCAGCAGTCCCCTAACTGGCTCCTCCCTCCAGTGTGCTCCATCTCTCTGCCTGTGTTCTGATCTAGCTCTCATCTGGTTACTTTCTGCTCAACAGAAACATATGAAGTTCTTCCTTCTGGCTTCCACTCCCCTTCTGATCTCACTCTCTGCCTCACTATGAGAACGTGAGGCATTCCTTCTGTTCCTTTTCTTATCTCCCCTTTCTTTGTTCAGCAAAACCACCCTCCAGTTCAGGCCTAACTCAGCTGATGCCCCTTCCTCGGATTTAATCATCATCACTGCTCCCCTCCCGCCCCCCAGCACTTTGATCTTGTCTCTATTAAAACCCGTCTCAGGTAATATTGGTGTCTTCCATTGGACTACGAATGTATAGAAGAAACTGTACCGTATCCATGTGTAACTCATTGTCTACTTTTTGCCCAAGGAGAGAAAGAAAGGGTGTACATTTAATAGAAAATTGAGAGTCTGAGCCAGGCATGGTGACTCACACCTGTAGTCCCATTTATTCAAGAGGCTGAGAAAGGAGGATCTCTTGATCCTGGGAGTTTCAGGCCAGCCTGAGCAACAGAGTGAGATCCTACTTCAAAAAGTAAAGCACTTTTATTACCCCAGCCGTGTGGGAGGTGAACTCTGTCTCAAAGAACAAGCTGGGTGTGCTGGCATATTCCTGTATTCCCAGACATGCAGGAGATGAAGGTAGGAGGATCTTGGTCTGAGGCTGCCCAGGCAAAAAACATGAGACCCTATCTGAAATATAAGTGGAAAGTAAAAAGGGCTGGAGGCATTGCTCAAGTGGTAGAGCACTTGCCTAGCAAGTGTGAGGAAGGAAAGAAGGAAAGAAGGAAGGGAGGGAGGGAGGGAAGGAAGGAGGGAAGGAGGGAGGAAGGGAGGGAAGGGAGGGAGGAAGGAGGGAGGGAAAAAGGGAGGGAAGGAGGGAGGGAAGGAGGGAGGAAGGAGGGAAGGCAGGAAAACTTAGAGTCCAGAAGCACATATCTGAGAACAGCAAAGCTTGAGAAGCCCAGGGTGGAGCACATGAAATGGTATAAGTTCAAATCTGCTCATGACCAGATGGGACTGGAGCCCTCCCTGGGTCTCCTCAGTGAGTGTGAGGCGACAGGAGCTGGGATCCCTGGGAGGGAGGTCAGTGTGGCTGCCTGGAAGCTGCACTTTCGCCCAGTGTCCGCAGTCCTGCCTGCCCTTCTCAGACTGGCATTCGCAGCACATCGAAGCTGTCCATGCTTCTTCACTTTCTCTTCTGCAGGTCCTTCGATGGCTTCTCCAGTGGTCAAAAGAATCAAGAACAACTGTTGACGTTAGCAAGCATTTTGAGGGAAGAAGGCAAAGTTTTTGACGAGAAGGTTTTCTACACTGCAGGCTACAACAGTCCTTTCAAATTGCTCAATCGAAATAATGAAGTTTGGTTGATTCAGAAAAACGAACCCTCCAAAGAAAACGAATGAGGAGGTGGAAGGAAATTCATTGCCGGGGCAAATCTGCTTATTACAAACATCAACGCCACCTACAAGCAAAGTGCGTGTCTAGTATCTTCTACCTGAGAGCTAGTATGAATTGCGCTCATTTCCAGTGTGCCTTTTTGAATGTTCAGAGCTTTACTTAGATAGATGCCAGGGGACAAGTCTGAAAACATGTAACTCTGGTGGCCTTTGTTTCTGTGAGGATCCGGACATGCCACGGTGCTTCCCTCTTCACTGCATCACAGTCACTTGCCTTTTGCTGCTTGGGTTCATGTCAGCTGGATGCAATGCCTCCCAGATAGTCTCAGTAGAAATAAGCGTTAAAGATTTATCCTGTGTGGAACTAGAGGCTGTCAGGCCTGGAGAGGTGAAGTTCAGCTGGGAACAGAAATAAATGGTCTTTTACTGCTGCCCTTGTCCCATCCAGATGCCCACTCAAGAAAACTCTCATGCAAAAGCATTGATAAAATTTTGAGACATAGGACAAGGTTATGAAGTTAGGAACTTCCTGTCCCCTTGCCACTTAATAAAGGTATGTTTTTGAAAGACACATAACTTAAAACTTCACATGGATTTTTAAAGTAGCTCATACACTATTGTATGAAAATGATTATCCAAAGTGTGGGTTGCTATAAAATCAAGGTTAGGAATCCTTGCCTAACTGGGGAAGGTAATGTCACATTCCGGTCCCTGCTCTATTGTGGCTCCCAGGGGAGGAACACAGTTGGAGCTCAGTAGCTTCCTGACAGTTACAGCTGCCCATGGGTTCATGGCTGCGTTTTCCTCACTGCTTGAGGTCACACCGTCACTTGTCAGGAGAAAATCACTGCACATGAGGTTTGAGTGGCCAGTGGATTGGATGGAGCTAGATGATGTGCGAGGTCCCCTCTACCCTAACGTTACACAGTACCTCTTAAATTTCATCTCCCTGACCTGGATACACTTAATGGTTTCTGTAGCTGACATACATGGATTGCCTCAGAAGTGCACTGTTCCAAGCGTGTCACCAGAATGTTCACACTCGGCCCTCAGATTGACCCACATTGGATGATCCCCATTTTATAGATGAGGAAACTGAGGCACAGAGACTTTAGGTAACTTGTCCCAGACGAAACTAAGGGTAGAGGCTGAGTGAGTCCAGCACTGTGACTTCTAAGCCCACACTGATGACCACCACACCCACGGCTGACTGGATGGTGATACTCCTCGTCCAGAGACGAGTCACACGACTCTGACCTCAGAGGTCCCTCTGAGGTGATAATTTTTTACTCAAAACAAGCTAGATTCCTGGTTTTGTAATTACTGTGGATATGTTGAAATTCCTGGCAGCTATTTCCAAAGATATTTCCTTGAGTTGGATATTAGAATTTATTAATTCTTTGCATATTTGTGCTTGCCAAAAAGAAATTTTCTTTTATAGCACATTTACCATCACTAACTATGGAACACCTTTCAGCTCTCCTACTGATGAATGTCCACGGTACCAATCTCCACTGTTAGGATGCAACTATTTCTAGTATTTAACCTCCAGTCCTATGTGAAACATGCCTCTCCTATGCAATCAATGCCACTTTTTAATGAGAGGTGCATATTTCTGATGACCAAGATTAGGGTGTAGCTGGGCACTGGCAGCTTATACCTGTAATCCTAGCTACTTTGGAGGCTGAGATCAGAAGGATCCCCATATAAGGCCAGCTCCAGCAAAAAGTTCATCAGAAACCATCTCAATCAACACTTGGCAGTCATCTCAAGCTATGGGGGAGGTTGAGATCAGGAGAAGTTCCAGGTAACCTGGGCCAAAAAAAAAAAAAAGTTTGCAAGACCCCATCTCAACAGAAAAAGCTGGGCACAGTAGTGTACATCTGTATCCCAACAATGTCAGAAGCCTAACATAGCAGGATCAAGGTCCAGGCCAGCCTAGGCAAAAAGACGCTCTCTCCAAAATAGCCAGAGCAAAAGGACTGGAGGCCCAGCTCAAGCGGTAGAGCACCTGAGTTCAAACTCCAGTACTGAAAAAAATTCAGTTGTAGGTAAAAAAATGTCCAAGAAGAAAAACTGACTTTCTACCCGTCAAGTTCAAGGTATGCCTTTCCCCCTCCTCTTTCTTAAAACCTAAGCTCAAACATTTTCAGCCTTAAATTGATCAACCCAGACAGTATTTCTCACTGAATCAGTTCTTTTAATTTTGTGATTGGCACCGATTTTGAAATATTCCTATGTCAACATCCCCTTTTCATTTTCTTCTTTTAGCGATGAGAAATACCAGTGTAGACTCTTTTCTATGGCTCAGCATTCCACCTGTGCTGTTGGTGGTTTTCTTTTGCAGTGTGGGAGCCTGAACCCTGGGCCTCATGTGTCAAGTGCTACGAAGACGCTACCCCACTGAGCTACACACCCAGCGCGTGGTCTTCCGTCCTCTGTAGCCTGTCCCGCTCAAATTCTACCAAGCACTGGTACTGTCCCTTCTCTCACCGCCAGAAACCCCAGGTTCCCTGTGACCCTTCTGCAGAATAAATCTCATCTCTCTCTTGCTGTGGTTATCCATTTCCTCCGGGAAGAGTCATCCAAAGGCACCTTTGGAGCTCTGGGTTATGAGATGGTGTCCAGGGACCATGACAGGACCTAAGGTGGGCAGTCCCCACCCACCCGTGTTTCTTCCAGAGCCATCAAGGCATTTATGCTTGTCAGGTTTTTAGATTACGGTTTTTTAAAAAGGCCAGAAAACAATTCACTGAAACTCTGTGCATTTATTTCATTTCATTCTCTCTTTAAAAATGTGGCTTTTCCCCTAAACATTTCCCTGAAATAACATTTTCCTTCTTCAGGTCATTATGGTGTCCCCACTGTGTTTCAGGCACTATGCTAGGAGACTTGGTCCCCAGCTCATCAGTGACTTGTCATTCACCAGCAACATCACTCTTCTTAGTCTCAGCTTCCTGCTGAGAACATAGCAAGGGACATGACGGACAAGCCACCTGTCCTCATGGATTTTACATTTGGGATGGAGGTCAACACAAGAAAGATGATTTGAAGTTGTGTCAAGTGCTATGAAGAAATGCAACAGAGTAGTGGATGTCATCTAGCGTGGCCTGAAAGTTCTCTGAAGGAGAACTCCTGGATGTGTCAATGGTGAAAGCCAGGAGCAGATGAGCATCTCGGACAGATGAGACAGCATCTAAGAAAGAGTCCACATTCAGGGCCTGCAACAAAAGCTGCAATGCTGCTTGCTGAGCGGGACAGCTGGGCTGGGAGAGCACCGTCTCTGTGGGTAAAGAAAACTGCTGACCTTCCACAGGCTTTTTCAGGAAACCCACAGCCCAGGATCAATGGCCTTTCAAAAGGATGGACTGGACTTTAGCTGTGCTGCGGTCACCAGAGTGCATAGCTGCTGAGGGTGTCATTTAGAAGCGAGCTCGCTGATTGAGGGTGCTGTTGATTACTTCTGCGACTTACTTGGAACTGCCATTTCTTTTCTGAGATTTGGAGTTGTGACAGACAAACATAGGCAGGTGGACCATTCAGATTTACCTTCAGGTTGTCTAGTTGTGCAAGTGTGGTTAGACAGTCTCCAGCTTTTCCCTCCTTTAGAGCTCATCATATTTCAAGATGAGGTCACACTGTTCCCGAGGGAATATAGAGCGTACCCCTGGGAAAAGCAGAAGTAGCTGACAGCATGCTTTTTTTTCTGCCAACTTCTAGCCAAAGGCTGAGTGAGGTGGTGGAACAATACCCAGCCTATTTGCCCAACCTGGGACTCTTCAGAAGCAGCTTTTGCTCTGGAGCTCCCTGGTGGGCTGGTAGAGACTTTGCCAAGTCAACATTGCTGTCTGCCAGCTATCTGCTCAGTCCTTCTTTGTGTGGTCCTTCAGAAGTGTAACTTCACCACATCTCTTTGTACTTCTAACTCCATCTCAACCTCAAATGGACTCAACTGGTACCAGTGGCTGGAGAACAAAGGTGAAAGCATTTTGAGAATGCCTGGCTGGTTATAAGGCCCCAGCCCTGGTGGAGAGGTGATGGACAGAAAGCCCCTGACACAAAGAGGATGTGCAGTTATTGAAACTTAGATGAAGTGGTGTCCTGGTGCAGAGGAATGCAACGAGAGGGGGATGATTCTGGCGTCTCAAATATGGGCAAAAGAGTAGACACTAAATACATGGGCAAAAAACTAGAATGGTTACTACTGAGTTGAATTGATATCCTATTGGAAGGTAGTGAAGAGCAGAGGTCAATCAACAAACAACTGAAAATCAACTGTAAGAGCCACAGTCTCTTGGGCAAGTTGCCAACAAGTCCTCATCTCCTGCAATAGCCAAGTAGAAAAATTCTGAAAGTCAATGACACAAGATCAAGCTTGGATGGCAAAACCAGTTAACCACCCACAGATGTCCAACCAAGTCTGTAATGTCAAGGTTAAAATCAAACATGGGAACCTGAAACATGTGATGGGGACATTGGTAGGTGCCCCAACAATTTTGACTCCCTGAAAGTTTGAGTCTACAAAGGAAGTCTACCCTTCCTCACTAAAAGCTGGAACTGTCCCTCCTCTTATCCTCTACCCTAACACAAGAAAAGATGATATAAAGTCCTTCCCCCATAAGGCTACAGGTGCCCCCCAGGAGCTGTTCCTATCTCTTCTGGCTACCGGAGTTATCAGCAGTTAAGTCACAACATCACTAGTTGGGGCTGTGCTGAATCTGATAAGGGAAGGAACGGACTACATCCAAAAGGAGCTACATCATTGTACAAAAGGAGCTACATCATTGGGTCACCAGGAACTAGGAGATGCCAGGGGCATCTTTCTGGGACTGCATTCTGAGGTCATTTGATAAAGATGCCAGTTTCTTAACACTAAATAAGGGAGAATTTCTTGACTTGGGGGAAAACTCAAGATACAGGATTTAACACCATAACAAAGATGCCAGAGGACAGTGTAAACTTGCTGCTCACAGAAGCCTAGAAAAAGTGATAGAAATGTTGAAATGCTAGACTTTGTTGGTCAGATAGTAGAGGAAGGAATGCAGGAGGTCAGGGCTGCTGGAAAGGAGATATGAGGCCAGATGACCTATCAGAAGATTATGTTCCCTGGGGAAGGACAAGAGAAACCATCATTCACCAAGGCCACTGCAACCAAGGCCATTAGGAGCACACTGGCAGGAAAGGCTGCTGAGAATAACTTGGGTGATGAGAGGACCTTGAAGAGCCCAGAGGACAATATTAACTACAGAAGCTAGGATGTCATCATTATGTTAACTACTAAGCTCAAAATGGCAGTCAAGGGAGCCTGACCTGGTATCCCCAGGGACAAAATAGATAGGTAGTCAACAAAGGTAATGATTTATATATAACCAAAAGAGCACAAGAATTGGAGAGATCACGCCAATTATAAAAAGGAGGAGGAGGAGGAGGAGAAGAAAAACAACCAAGAGTCCTCGCCCAGGTTCCAGAGCTGAGCCAGTTTTCTGACCCAAAGCTTATGACCAAAGAAGGGACTGGATCCCAGCGGAAAAGTCCCTGCGTATTTCAGTATGTGTGCACAGTAGTGATTCCTCCAGTCTTTTTCTAAATGTACCTGTGGCCATTTGCTTAGGTGGCTACACGCTGGGGAAAGAGGAGTATCTGGATATGTGCAGGTCTCAACTAACATTTGAAATCCAGAAACCAAGTGTCATTACAGTTCTTGTCCCCCATGAAGCTGGGAACATATAGAAGTTAGAAAAGAAACATAATTCTAACCAAAGTTTGGCTGGCAATATGTCCCTTGGGTCTGCAGACCCACCACTAGTTATTGCCTGTCCCCGGATGTATAACTGACACTAACATGTGGCAGGTAGAACAACCACACTTTGAAAGTTAAAGAACTTTGAAGAAGCCAGGTGCTGGTGGCTCACGCCTGTAATCCTAGATACTCAGGAGGCAGAGATCAAGAGGATCGCAGTTTGAAGCCAGCCCAGGCAAATAAAAAACCCATCACAAAAAAGGTGAGGTGGAGTGGCTCAAGGTGTAGGCCATGAGTTCAAACCCCAGTACTGCCAAAAAACCAAAAAAACCCAAAAAAACCAAAAAAACTTTGAAGCGTATAAATCTCTAAACCCCTATGCCTCAACCAGGTAGTGAGTCAAAGTCAGTATGGCCTTCAGCAGTGGTTGTTAGGCACTCTGTGAGGAAGAACTGCTTCTGGCCACGATGGTACAATAGGAACTCAATGTACCCTTCCATCTTTACAACCAAACCCAGACAAAGCATGGCAAGAAGGGCTTTCAGACCAGGAATATGCTCTCTCAGAGAAAGGAAAAAACGAAGTCAGTCCAATGACTGCTCATGC